AGGAGAGAGGGTCTCATCTCAAGAAGTATGCCTCCCTTACATCACATCCAGTATGCAACTAGCAAATATCCTCACTAAAGCCGTATCAAGAAAGAAGCTAGAGGCGGATCTATCCAAGTTGGGAATGATAAACATTTACTCCCAACTTGAGGGGGAGTGTAGAGAACACTGATGTGGGCCCCCCAGTTGTGGTCCCACTCTGTCCGTACGGTAGAATATACCTAGTCATCATAGGGCTAGCTGATGGTCAATCTGTTATTCTAGTTGTTATTTATATTTCAGTTTTATAGTTTTATGTGTTATGTAAATACCAAGGGCAGATGTGTCCTTTCATGTAACTAGCATAACCTATAAATATTAAATAAAAGCGGCAGCAGCAGAATATTGAGATTCTGTCCTTCCTTTCGAATCTTGTGTTCTACTGCTCTCTCTCTACTCTTTCTCCTCTTTCCTCTATTCTTTCTCTCCTTTTTCGAACCTAAAACTTGTTAGTGCTCAAGACTGATAGCAGTCTTGAACATCTACATGTTTCACAAGGTTTAAAATGTCAATGTTGGTGGAAATATCAATAATCAAATATAGGAAACATGTCGCAAACGTTGTATGGAAATTTTGTAAAAAACAAAAAATTAGGCATGGTGGAAGCATTGTGAAATATGTAAAAATATAGAATGCTATTTTGTGTAATTATAAAAAAGATGCATAGGTTGACCCTTTTAAATTATTTTGTCCCAAATCATCAAAAACTACATCATAGAGCGAGTTAAAGCAACATTTAAACTCAAAGAAAGCGCAAATGATTCTAATTGATCAACCAAATCGTCATGTGTGAAAAGAATTTTGAGCCGGTTCAAAGTGGTAATCATGTACATTAGGTGGGAAGTTACACTATTACTTAACATATCTAAAACATTGTTGCCAACTTATGTTATAATACTAACTCTTATACTCAACATAGCACTTGTATCTTTGATTGGGAAATATGTTGATTCCAGTAATATTCTGTCTCAGCACCCATGGGGAATGAAAATATGTTTTGGAAATACTAGGAAATTTATGGACACTTTAAAGAATGTTTCAGGATATGTAGTTTAAACTGGTAGAACTTATTTTTATGGTAAAATATTTGAATTAATCAAATTTACAATGTCTGTACATGAAGCTCATGTATAGTGAGATGCTACGCAGTGTTATTCATCCACCCTAATGCATTGACATGTAACTGTAGTTCATTTACAGAGATGGGACTTCCCCTGAAATCCTTTTGGATGGCTACTGATGCACCCTGCCCATCAGTCCTCTGAGAAGCTCTTCCAGTTTCAGAGAATCTTGTCTTATGCAAGTAACTCAAATCACTGCCTTAGGAAGGGTTTCACAAATTACTTTGGCCATCTTACTCACCTTTCTTAAAGAGCAGCTGAATAATAGCTCTTTAAGGGATCTTCGGAAGCACCATCTAAGGTGGATCCAATATGTGATTCACTGATTCTATAGGATAGAGCTGTTTTTTGCTGTGTAAAAACAGGTGATCCGTTGTTTCTACCTCTTTGTTACATGAGACGCAAAATCCAGATAATTTGTTCTTGGCATTTACCAAAGATTACTGTCTGGAACACAAAAGCTATTTTTACGGGATCTTGGGACTCCAGATCTGAGAATGAGGAAATTCAACTCATACTGATACACAGATGCATCAATAGACCATTATTTTTTGAAGAATGCAACGATTGGTATTAAATCAAAAATAGAAAATAGACGCATCACCCCAAATTGTGGCTGGAAGAAACTTCTCTTTTTTGAAGATTATTTTTTGATGAAGGTAAAGTATTGTATTATGAATCAAAATGAAAAAAAAAATATACAATCATCCCAGACCCCTGTACAATGAGAATCTGTACCAGAGGAGACCCAACATCCCCAAAATAAACCCAACCAACAAGAAATTACATAAAACTATCCAAAAAGAAAACCCTTATAAAAAAAAAGAACTTGTGTGTCTAGCTTTGAATGGAGAGTGATTAGCCAACCATGAATAGAACATGCCCAAATTTTTTTTGAGAACCTCCTCTTTCGAGTTTTACCCCATTCACACTGCTGCAGGTATAGTGTCCCAGACTACTCCACCAGCCTTACTTAACCCCTTTAGCCACCAAGAAAATATGAAGCTCTTCACATTAGCTGGAAAACACATCTTTACCCCTTTAGCCACCAAAGAAGAAGCACAGGGTACATGAGAAACTGAACTTTGATGGGAGTTGTGTGGGCAATCCGGGCCCCTCAGGTATTGGAGGGGTCATTAGGGATGAGGAAGGTAACATAATAGCCTCATAATCAGGCCCATCTGAGCAAGGTGATGTGGTTAGATCAGAGTTATTGGCCGCAGTTTATGGGGTTGAGAAGGCCAATGAGTTGGGTATTGATAGACTGATTATTGAGGGTGATTTGGGAACAGTTGTCAAATGGCTGAAAAAGGGGGAGGGGGTGACATGGCACTTAAGGAATGATTTCAGGTGCTTTAAATGGCTGTCAAAAGACATGATCCATGTTAAATGGGTAAGGAGAACTGCAAATAGTCTGGCAGATGGCTTAGCTAAGAAAGGGATACAAAGACAATCTTTGTATTGGGCTCAATTATAATACTTGGGTTGGGTCAGCTCTACTGATCCAAAACAGAAGACGCATCAGCACCCATAACCCATGTACACCAGGGATCTGAATGCATCTATAGAATTTGGACCTCATAGTTTCTGCTTCCAGTTGTGTATACCTCCCAAGCCAATATTTACTTTTATTCTCCAACTACATACATGATACGAATTGTTTGTAATTTGACATCTAGACATCCTAGTTCATCTTAGTGGATATAATAGGTATGTCTTCTCCAAGATCGCATTGAAATCTTGTGTATACATCCCAAGTCAATATTTACTTTTTTCCAGATGCTTCTACTTCATGCCAGACAAGGTAAACCAAATTCTATTATTAAGAGAATATATTGTTCATACAGTCAACTTGAGTTAGGGAACAATATGGCAATGAAACTTGTCTCAAACAGCACCCGAAGTGCCACAAACTTTTGATTTTTGACCATTACAACTTTGGCTCACTTGTAGGTTGACTCATTATAACATGCCTCATACAAAACATATTAATGCATGACAGCCTTGGGACAATTGTACATTGCAAACAAGTTTTGGACACAGGGTACACCAAGTTGGTGTATTAGGGCAGTGAACTGACTGTTGGAACTTTGTATGCACTACTATTCTTGAAAGAATTATTGTTCTACTTAGAAGAACTACTGATCAGAATGCATGCATCCTAGATATTACTACCTGAAAATTTAGCACTTTCTGAAATCTGTTATTGTAATGAGTGAAGCACATGTGCAAGCACAACAGTTAAAACTTTCAAGGCAGCATTAGACAGTGCTCCCTAGATCAATCCATGTTGCGCGCTCAAAGGCATAAAACAATAATTGGGGAACTGTTTCAAACAAATGCACATTCCCCGCTTTTTTTGGACAGAAGAAAAGACAAAACCGTTTTTTTTTCTTTTGATATCTCCAGAATTCTGAAGCTAACTTTTAGGAATTGGATAGAGAAAAATACGGAATTCACAATTTCAGATTCTGCTGAGGAAGAAAAGGCAAAAGGAAAAAAAAAGAAAGAGAAAAAAAAGGAGAATGAACGGATAAGAATAGCAGAAGCCTGGGATACTTTTATATTTACRCAAGCAATAAGAGGTTTTATGTTAATAACCCAATTAACTATTAGAAAATATATTGTATTGCCTTCATTGATAATAGCTAAAAATCTSTGCYKTATGTTATTATTTCAATTCCCCGAGTGGAACGAGGATTTGAAGGAATTGAATAGAGAAATGCATATTAAATGCACCTATAATGGTATTCAATTATCAGAAAAAGTTTTTCCTAGGAGAATAAAATGGATTTGAAATACTAAGTTGGAACTAAGATGAAATAGCTACGTAGTGCATATATTGGTAAAATGTCTGGTTATGTTGAATTCTGCTTGTCCTTGTGCCCTTGTTCTGTACAGTCAACTGTTCTTCTGTGGCAAAATAACAAGGTTAGCGAATCCTGCAATGCCTTTGCAGGTTTACATAATCAACAGCATAATCATCACAATCAAAATGGTGAAAACAGATTGTCCTAGAAGGCCATTATCCAATGTTGGTCCCAGCTATCTGGGGTCTTGGGAGGAGTTGACTGGATATGGTCCTAACCTTTGGCTTTTGCACAAAGTGCCTGCTCGCAGGGGTAGACTGTATATTTTTTTAGAAAAATACATTTTCCCTATGAAATGGTAGTTATTATTATCAAGCACCATGTGATTTCATCACATGCCTGGGTGTGACCATGTAACCACTCTTCTATTTCTTTGTATTTCCTATCTAGCAGTACTTCTGATTATTGTTATTTTGTGTTTAAAGGCTGCCCAGCAACTTCTTGGGCGGGATCTTGAGCCTTGGGAGACTATTGTGGTTGGAGCTCTGTCTGGAGGACTTGCTGCTGTTGTCACAACACCATTTGATGTGATGAAGACAAGAATGATGACTGCTCCTCAGGGTCTTCCAGTATCTATGTCAATGGTGGCTTTCTCCATTCTCCGTCAAGAGGGACCCCTTGGCCTATTCAAAGGAGCAGTCCCTAGGTTCTTCTGGATTGCACCTTTAGGTGCCATGAACTTTGCAGGCTATGAACTGGCAAGGAAGGCAATGGACAAGAATGAGGAGCCACCAGGTGATCAACTTCCCCAAAAGAAGCTTGCCAACTCTGGCTGAAGTTTCTTGACAAAAAGAAACCACTGAGATTTCCAACAGCTTTACAGTTTGCTTGTATGATGACATGCCTGCTCTGTCAGCATGGGCTAAGGTTTTACATCTTTTATACCACAGCATCATGTGCTTCAGTTCCAACTGTTGATATCAGTGTTCTAGTTGAGACATTGTAATTTGCGAATATCTTATTATTTGTTTCAAGCAATTTTGTAATCCTTTAACAATGGCTTGTTTATATTCTGGGCGCTCAATGTTGTATAATGTATATCAAGGCGGCCCAAGTTTCTGACCAATTCAAGGACGTCATATATATTCAACAGCTGGGAGAATTATTCGGCGACCAAATGATGTCCAGAATCCAGAGTTTTTCACTTTGTACATTAACATTTGTGCAGCTGGCCATAGCTTTCACATGGTTTAGCCGTAACCTTTTGTATTTTTCAATGCTTTAGTCTTAGATATTATGTGTGTGTGTGGTGGGGGGAGGGGGGCGTAATGCCATTCAAATAGGAATTTGACTGTTCTCAGCAGCTCAAATGCATTTGTTTAAATTTGAAGCGAGGATAGCAGGCCTTAATTTCACGATTCCTAGTGGTAAGTACGGTCTGAAAGTGAGGGCAAGCTTACTTCGACAACCTTTATATCATATCGAAGTTACTGGAGAAGTCTTTAAAAAAAAAAAAAAAAAGCTCCAACTAGGAGCTTTTAAACTCAAGGTGTAAAGAAGACATGTACAGCGAAGCCCCAATTTATCTTTTCACACGTTGTACTAGCTTAGGCTTATGCCTATTATAGCATGAATATTTTGCACTTGCATACAGCATGCTCTTAGGGTAGTTTGGTTGCACTTGCACGCAGTAGAAACTAAAGTAGGTGCTTCGTACAGTGGGCTACGAAACCCAATCAAGGGTAAACACGTTTGGACCTGGACATAATAGCTGTCCGGATCACAGGCGTGCCCACTTGTGATTGGGTTACGTAACACATTGTAGCACATCCCGACCCAAGAGGACATTGTGTAAGGGTGTAACCGTATAACTTGGGTCGGCTTAGATGTGAAGTTTTCAAATTGGTTGACAACGCTTACCTCCCAGAAAACTTGCTTATACCGTTCCCTGCTAGAAGGAAACTAATCTTGCGAAATAACGAGTGTTACCATTCCAACAGCAGATGATCCCATTGATATTTCAAAACCTCTACTTGCCAATTTGGAGAAGCATTTTTCTAACAGTGAGCTCTGCTCACAAGGTAATCTAGAACATTTGCCTAGGAAAAAATGTCTCAGCAATTCCAATCTGCAATTGATTTTTAGGCCATCCTATTAGAAGATTGTGCCTGCTTTTCTTGAAGAACCTGGAGGAGTCATCTGCTCATCTAACAGGGATGGTAAGAAAAAAAATATGGTTATTTTTTATTTCAAGAAAACATAACAAAAAGGGGGAAAGAAATCAGGTTTGATATTTCCAAAGTTGAGAACTCAATAGCCCCAGTTGTCATTCCGGATTTCATCATCAAACTTCTTCTTCAACTCTGGATGCTTCTCAAAATACTCGTCTGCAGTCATTGTGCTCAATTTTTTCTGTTAAGATGGAAAAATATTTAATCAGAAATTATACAATGAATAATACCTGCCAAGAAATACTCCTTTAGCTTACCTTCAACTCTTGGACTTCTGCAATTTCTTTTTCCAATCTCTCAGACTCCTTCAGGGATTTTTCTTCTGCTTCTTTCAGCTCCACCAACTGTAAAGTCATGAGCATTGTTACATTGCAATGATGGATATCTTACGGTGAAGAAAAAGCGAAAGCTGTAGGGCAAGCAAGGGGGAGAAATGTGGAGAAAACAGTTAAAGGAAGAATTAATAAGTATCGTATTGTTCTCACCAGTGCATCGAACTTGGGTTTGTATTGAGGAGTCACTGTATCCACATACTTGGGGATCTCTATGCCTGAAAAAGGAAACAGGAACATGCAGGAAAATGAAATTTATGGCCAGTGTCAGTGTGCATGGTATGGTGTACACTGTTCACCAGGAAAATGAAATTTACAACTTAAATTCTTAATCCACATATCATTCAATAAGAATCATGGAGTAATATAGACTATCGAGAAGCATCATGCATATAACTAACACAGTTCAGCTTTCTATGCATCTCTAGATCAGTATATCATAAACATATACAGGTGAAAGGAAAGAAATAAAACCACAAAGGTGTCAAGCAACAAGAATTATCCAATTATAAGGGAAGAAAGGAAATAAATAAAATAAAAAGAGATGCCAAAAAAAACAGAAAGCATAAAACATACTGTCATAAGCCTCTTTATACATATCCACCAAGCGAGAGCCAATTCCCTTTCTGTAATACTCCCAGTCTATGGGTTCTGGTTCCTGCATAACATGAAATGTAGTCAGCGTAAGTGTTCAAATTGTTAATAAATTAAAATACAGCAGTAAGCTAAGCAGTAAAGCAGTAACCCCAATTAAAATGCTGCTACAGCTGCAAATTGCAGTTGGAGGATAAGAGGCTGCTTGATAGGCTGAATTGACCAAACTGAATGGATTATCAATTTGTCTTTAGTGGATAAAATAGTTATATAATGAAATTTAGGAATATGGTGGTTACCTGGCATGCTATTCAGTCATATTGGATCTGAACCTCTATTTAATGGCTCAAGGGACAAAGAAATAAGTCAGGGAGCTCGTCTGCTGTTAGAAATCAGGGAGCTTGCCTCTTGCATGCATTGCAGTTTTAGATGGATTCCTAGAGAGCTAAATCAAGTGGCTGATAGTCTTGCTAAATCTGTGCTGGGAAGGGATTTTTTGTATAGTGCACATACATTGCCAAATTATTAATGGGCTTTGTCTTTTGTTTTTGTTTTGCTGACAAAACTTTTTACATCCCCTCATGTACATCCCTCCCTTGTTTATACGATATGCCCCGTATCGGGCATATTGTATTGTATCATTGTCTTAACGATACGCCCCAACAGGGGTCGTATCGGGGTGTGACCTGGTTCAGGGGTTAGACCAGCCTTATACCAACCCCTCTGAACCAGTTTCAAAGAAAAAAAGGGGAGAGCAAGCTTCAGTACAGGCCAATACGCCCCTACCGACATATCAGCCTGTATTGATATTTTAAACCTTGGTTTTAGCTAATTCGGCTGTTAACAAACATCCCCCTGCAAATGATGAAATCATGGCATCAATACAATATTAAGCATTCCTTTTTTAGCTGCCACAGTTTTTCTAAGCAGTGAGAACTTTTTTTATCAGTACCGAGCAGTAAGAACTTTGAGAACTACAACATAATAACAAGGTATAAATTTTACTAAGGTGGCATTTGAAAATCTGAAAAATTGTCACTTATGCCTGAATAATAGTCACCCCCTTTAGTGTGTTTGGTTGCACCTCCTAAAGGTCCATTACATCTGAAAATTTGCTCTGATTAATAAGTGGTTGGATTACCGCTTATCACTTGTTGGTGCTGCATGCAAGCATTTCCTATACTCTTTTAACATTTAAAATCTTCTGTAATAACAAGACTATCCCTCGTACTCACATTTAAATGGAAGAAACTACAAGACCCAGTCCAATCAACAACTCAAACATGATAGTTTAATCAAACTTCAGACATGGCCATTCAGAACCAAAAGTAACCTCTTCTTCCAGTAAGATTTAATTAGACTTCAGAGAAATCAGACTTGTACTTCCAAACATCGCCTAATATTTGTGAGATTGGGGACAAATGGGAGAAAAGAATTGAATGAAATTATTTTGCTTAGAAAAATAAATCTGTAGCGAAAATTTAAGAAATTATAAACAGAAGGCCCAGAAGGCTCCTTATCGTATTTAATCTTACCACCCATTGCAAGTACAAACCATAAAGACACATATCTGAAGCACTAGGAAAACCTGATTTTGTTAGACTGTTAAACAAAATTCACAGACACGGACCTGCCACAGCATATAAAATGGCATAATGGCTGAAGGCATGAATGGCATATGAACTGTAATTTACCACCCAAAAAAATATTTTTGGCAGAGAAAATTCTGAGGCAATTCTAATTTTTGTTTCTTGCTTTCCAAGACAACTAGTCTTGTCCTATAAAAGATATTATACCCCTTAATTTCCTTCTTAATGAATGAATTTTATGAGATTTAAGCTTCTTAGGATGAAGTAACGAACTAACAACTTATGCTGAAGATTTCGAATAAGGTATAGGACAAGGAATTCAAATGCAACAATGCAAGATGACTTATCTATAACCCATTAAAGACACTAAAATTTAAGGAAATATAGTTAATGCTACAATTGTATACAATAATAGAGATAAAATGCATGTTTATCTTGAACTAATCTATGAAGGATTACGTTATAATCGATTAAGATACTATTACAGTGCAAGAATTATAAAGTACCCTACTAGATATAGTACCACACCTACTTTTACAGGTTACATAGCATACGTATTGATTTTCAATTTTCAAATGATGCAAAAGGTCACAAATTGCAACATGGAAAAGAATAAGCAGAGTGAAATTATTATGCATCCGAGTCCTGCGGGACCCCAAAATTCAAGGCTGCTTACATAACAAACTCATGTAAAAAATGCAGAATTAAATCCATTAACTGTAACATGCCAGTTTGCGAGAGCGTGCGGGGGAAATAGGCGGGGTTGAATCATTCGTTATTGTGAAGAAAAATATATCAGAACTTAAGTCTCGTCCACTGAACTTTCTTCCAGATAAAAAAAAAAGAAACCCTAAATTCATGAAGACATCCATTTGCAGGATCAGAGAATGTCGTAGCCAATATAGATAAAAAATGTAGGTAATGCGCCGAACAAAACCTTAGCTGTAAGCAAATAGCAATCGATCAAAAGACGGCGATCGGCCAGATACATAGATCTCGAGAAAAAGAGAAGCAAAAGAATAACGAATAACAAAACAATAGGGATTGAGAACGAGAGTTACTTGGCTGAACTTGGTCTGGAGGGTGGAGTTGACTTCGTCGAAGGCGCGACGGAGAGAAGCGAACTCCTTGCGAGCCTCTTCGGAGACGAGAAGTTTTGCCATTCCATCCCAGTCGATGCCCTTCGATGCCTTCACCGCCACATCTACAATCTTCTTCCCTGCGCCACTCATTCTTCTTCTTCTTCTTCTTCAAGCTCTCTCTCCCTCTCTCTCTCCCTACGGACAACACCAACTGGAGTCACCGTCGGTGGTGGATTGATTGCAAATGGAATAATGGTTTTGCCGCAAAACACAGAGTGAGGAGAATATAAACAGCCGCGGATAAAAAGAGAAAGACGATACAACCCTTGCTACTGCCTTCAATATTCATCCGTTTATAAAGTCACGTTTTCTCACTGAACGAACCGGATCGACCCAGGCCCGGTTTTCTTGGATGTTATCATAAATCTCAGCGATAGACGTATTAGTGCACGGGCCCCGGAGGCCCGGATGGGCCGAATCCGCATGAAGTAGGTGAACGCTAGCATGACGGGGTGAAGCAATCGTGAACCACCCACCATGCATGTTTGGTTATATAGGCGTTTATTGAAAAAGCACCGCTACATTGGCGCCATACAGATATTGGTGTTTATTGTGTGATATTATTATTTATCAAATAAACACTAAATGATTGAAATGCTTTGATTTATGTGTATGGGCCGTTTGGAAAAATATCAAATTCTTGTTTCCTCCAAATAAAAAACATGTGCACTTTAAATTGAGGTGGAAAGCAATTTTATGGGATGTTACTTGAAACACCCATAAAATGCACAACCAAATAGATAAAAAGCAAAAAACATTTAAAGTAGTGTTTTTCATATAAACCTTTATCTAATAAGTACTCTCTCAATAAATACCCACGAAACCAAATACATATGAAGTCCCCCATTTGGGTGGATCATACCTTGTAATATTGCATCTGATTCAGCCCTAAAAAGCTAATGCCATAATTGGGACTGCTTATACTAACAAGTGCTCATATGTGTTAGGTCTGGGTCGAGTACTAAGGACCCAAAATCAAACTGGAGCTAAATTATAGACCCACAAATGAATTGATCAATTCTCATGATAGTGAGGACTGATCCAATTATAATAAACCTATTGAAAAATATTAGATAGATAGATAGATAGAGAGAGAGAGAGTTTAAGTCTATTTGGCATTGGATAGAACTGGTTCCAAACCGATAATAATTGGGGCAATATATCAAAAACTGGAATTGACCTATTGGTTTTGATACCTATAACCAAAACTGACCTAGCTGGTTCAGGTATGTTGGGTTAGGCTTGATCCATTGTTAACCCTAGGAAATAAGCACTAATTGAATAAACACTTAAAAATAAGTTCAAAATTTAATCTTTTTGTGCTCATTGGTCCCAACTCTCATCTAAAATAAGTATTTATTCAAATAAGCACTTAAAAATAATCACTCTCAATCACGGGCTAATTGAGATGAGTTTCACTTAATTATACTCTATTTTTATTTTTTTACGATGTAAAACTAGAGGTGAGCAAATGAAAAAGGTTATACTCAGAATTGACCTCGAATCAACCTTGAAAGGACCCTAATTAATAATAACAAATTAGATAGGGTCCTTAAAGATTTGAACCCAATCATTTATGGTTCTCTTCAATTTAATATGCATATAATAAGTAATGTAAAAATTGATATTTACAAAATTAAAATTAAAATTTTAAATTTTGAATTATATCATTATTATTATTATTGTTATTATTAGGGATTATAACAAATAAAGGCAACTTTTGAGCTCTAAACAAGTTTCATATTTTTGAGCAGAATAAAGAAATAGTAGGCAAGCTCTTTGAACCACCAAAACTAGAACCAATCCTATAACTAATATTTGATAGGGTATGTTTCAGTTCAAAAACTTGGAACCGAACCTTATAAGCCACAACATACGCTTTAGGTTTCTACCTTGGAACTAGACCTGGCAATTGGTTTGGGTGGGTCAGGTTCGGGTTGGGTCAAGGTACTTTGGGTTGATTTCAGGTCGGGTTGAATTTCTGGTTGGGTTGTCAAATGCTAGAACCTAACCCTAAATGTTTGGGTTAGTGTTGACCCATGGGTCAATTCAGGTCATCCCAAAAAATAATTAAAATTAAAAAAAAAGAAAAATTACATGAAAAATGTCAAAATTAAAAGAATTAACCTTAAAATTCAAAATATAAAATAAAAAGCTTGAACATTTAACAATTTAAAGAGTAAATAATAAAAAGTAAAGACTAAATAGAAAAAATTAAAGAGTGGAAACTTCTAACAATGCATAAATAATCCCACTTGACAATCGGATCAGCAGGTTGACCCACGACTCAACCCAACCCAGTTTTTTCGGGTTAGGGCGGGTCGTTTTCACATTGGGTAGTTAAATACGAAACCCTAACCCTATTTTTTCGGGTTGGATTGGATCGGATTCGCGGATTGGATCAACTTTTTGCCAGGTCTACTTGGAACCGAACAAAACCTACCAGGCTCCGATAATCAGGGTCGGGTATGTCGGGCTTCCGGTGCAATCGGATACAAGACGAAAGTGAAAACCATTCAAGTAGGGGGCAACAAAGCCAACAAGAAGAGAGGAGTTTGGTTTCTGAAAACACTCCGCTTCTGAAAATAAAGATAAAGCGAGATGCATTTTGATTGAACGGGATGATTCGAGCCGAATTCGAGTATAAGCCACGTTACAGGTTTGCTTTTTGCTATCCCATTTTCATTTACCTGCTCTTATGTAACTGGGTTTTCCTTGTTCGATGTAAGAAACTCGATAACCGGGACAATGTAGTTTTTGTGGCTAGAATTAGCGTGATCCTTACTTTCACTTTTTCTTCGTCTTTTCTTTTGTTACATTGATGATTCCAACAGATAAGCTCTGTTTAATATATATTGCATAACTCTCTCTCTCTCTCTAACCCGGCCAAAGGGAGTGAGGAGGGGGGGGGGGGGATGAGAGAGCGTCAGAGCCATATCTCTTGGTGATGGGAGAAGGGGAGGTGATTTCTTGCCAGGAGATCGTCAAAATGCTTGCTGACCATTCATAACACTATATGAAGGTCTTGAATAAAACAGGAGACCCCAGCTCTTAGCAGATGCACTGGAAAGGCCATTTTTGATGAAGAGGGGGGAGAGGAGACATATATATTGTTGTACAAAAGCCCCTAGGCCTAAAAGATTTCATTATGGGTTTCTTCCAAGGAAGAGGGAATTTCAGAGTTTATGGCGCTGATAACATCGTGAGAGTATGTTATGTGAACTCATCATTGACTAGTAATGAGCTGATACAACAGCATTGATCACTTCCTTCTGAAAGAACCTTCATATTGAACTTTTAACAGCTGTTCTATCGGCATATCTGGCCTTAAGAAGTAGGATGCGCTTTCAGAAGCCATGAGAGGGACGCGTTCTGGTCTGCTCAGGATGCTTAAGTAATGGGAATTCTGTTAGAGTCGAGATCATGTCACTTTTGTAGGGCTGCGGCTGATATCCTTTTTTGAGCTGGAGGTTGGGGAGAATCCCAAAGATAAGGTGGACAGGGCTCTTGGAACCTTTGTTACTGTATTAGGGAGGCTAGCTCCTTGGTGTCAAGAGTGAACACCTTTTTTAAATGGGCCTAAAGATCATCCACATTGGCTGCAGCTTCTTTAGATAAAGGCGTAAGCTAGGATCAACTTTAGTGACTGCAGATTCTGTAGGAGAGTTACTTTTTTGTATTCTCTTTTTTCTGCATCTTTATTAATATATTTTTTTATCTTGTTACGGGCAAAAAATAAATATTGTTATATTGGTTTCTGATTAGTCAAATTTTATTTGTTTTGAAAAGTTATTTCTTGCTATCCAAGTCTTAGTAGTAGTTAAATGAAGTGTTTTTCAATAAATTCCTTTTTAAGAGAGGGTTAGTATAGTCCTACTTTTGTACTAAATTTTAGATTTCCAACTTTATACTTGCATCTCCCACACCTGTGGTTTACAAATAATGTCTGAACAGCTGTTGTTTTGACATTCAATCAATAAAATCTCAATTTCTATGATATCAAGGCATTGCCTAGGTCATTTTTTCCCTTTTTCTTTTTAATATTCCAATTGCCTAGGCATGCTTTAGGTGGCTATGCACCAGGGAGAACAAGGTAGTTCCCAACAAGGCCATAAGCCTTCAAGATAACCATGGATATTTTCTTTTTAATTTCTTACTACCCAGAAATTACAAAATTGCAAAGCATTAAATAGTTCTATCTTTTCTCTAGTCGTTCTCTATTTCTTTTATCTTCTTTCTCTATTGATTGGCTGCTTTATTTCTAATACAACAGCTATTTATCTTTGGCTTTCTTCTTATTTTTATTGCCAAAGTTTTGAACTTTTAATTCAACATCTTTTTTACTCAGTCTAGCCAGCTCTACTTTATCTTTATTATTAAATCTTAATATCAAATTCTCATAATCTGCTTCATAAAAATTTATTTTCCATTTCAAATCATGCATTATATTAATGCAACAAGTTATTATATTGAATTGTTATATGTGCTATATGACAAAAATGAAATTATGATGAAGATCCAAAGGTTGCGATGAACTCAGCGCAACCTGTGACAAAGTGGCGGAGACTTTATCGCAAGCTTGAGAACACAAAGCTTCCAACGTGACTTTATCGCAATCTCGGGAATGCAGAGATTCTAGCGTGATTCGAAATCAGAAAAAAACCTCATTGATATCTCATGGATACAGGGGTATTTATAATTACAGTTGATGCTCAACTACTTGCCGAACAAGTGGCAAGATCAAGATCAAGAAAGTGCCAGCTGGATTGCTAGCTGGCAAAACTAACTAGCACGTGTTCTTGATGCTCCCAGCTAGAGAAGCTAAGCAGCACGTGTTTTGATGTTATAATACTCCCCCTCAAGTTGGAGTAGAAGGTTGAACGCCCAACTTGGATAAGAGATACGTAAATTGATCATGCCCCCAAGGCTTTGGTGAATAAATCAGCTGGTTGCAACTTAGAGGGAATGTGGTTAGGCGCAATGGTGTGAGCTTGAAGATGAGAGCGGACAAAATGGCAATCAATCTCTATGTGCTTTGTCCGTTCATGAAAAACTAGATTGGCAGCAATGTGTAGAGCAGCTTGATTGTCGTAGAAGAGTTGCATGGGTTGTGGATGTTGTAGTCCAAGATCAGCAAATAGGCGTTTAAGCCAGAGTAACTCATTTGTAACTGCCGCCATTGATCTGTATTCGGCTTCCGCAGAAGAGCGGGAGACGGTTGGTTGCTTCTTGGACTTTCATGACAGAGGGGAGGAGCCCAAAGTAGTAAGATAACCGGTTTTTGACCGTCTCGTTGATGGACAACTTGCCCAATCAGAGTCACAGTATCCTCGTATGAGGAGATCAGACTTGGAGGAAAGGAATACTCCATGTTTAGGTGAAGACTTGAGATACTGTAGAACATGCATAGCAGCATCGAGGTGGTTTTGTCGTGGATCGCTCATGAATTGACTGAGGATATGGATTGCATATGTGATTTCTGGTCTAGTAATGGTGAGATATATTAGGCGCCCAATTAGACGTCTATACTGGTCTGGGTGTGGTATGGGAGGACTAGAATCTGGGCCTAAATGGTGTTGCTGCTCCTTGGGAAACGGACTTGGATGGCATCCAAGCATTCCTGTTTCTTTGAGAATGTTGAGCGTGTATTTACGCTGGTTTAGGAAGATGCCCGAAGGAGACCGAGAGATTTCAATACCCATAAAGTATCGGAGTGGACCCAAGTCTTTGATGGGAAAGCAGTGACTGAGATACTTCTTAAGGGAGTCAATACTATTTGGATCATCCCCAGCTATGGTTAAGTCATCCACATAAGCTAGCACAATCAAAGTCCTACCAGTTTTGTGAAGCGTGAATAAAGTGTAGTCTGCAGAAGACTGAGAGAATCCTCTCTGCTTGAGTGCTTGTGTTAAAGTTTCAAACCAATTTCTAGATGCTTGCTTCAGCCCGTAAATGGACTTGTTCAATTTGCAAACACGGTTGTCGCCTGGAGGAAGGAGACCCGAAGGGGGTCGCATATATATTTCTTCATGCAGATTACCATGGAGGAAAGCATTGTTTACATCCATTTGATGTAAATGCCAGTTCCGTGCAGCTGCTAAAGCTATTAGACAACGAACAGTGACGCGCTTTGTAGCGCTCTATACCACCATCAGGATTGGTCTTAATTTTGTAGACCCATTTACAACCAATAGGTTTTTTTCCAGGAGGAAGACTTGTTAGAGGCCAAGTTTTGGTAGCTTTAAGAGCTTTAAGTTCAGCTGCCATGGCATTGCGCCAACATGTGTGTTGATTTGCTTGCTAATAAGTGGTGGGTTCAGGGGGCAGGTCAGATGGAGCATCAAGGTGGCTTCTATGGTTGGCAGTCTTGAACGGAAACTGATCTTCCTAGAATATTACATCCCGAGAGACTAGTATTTGCTTTGTTTCAAGATTAAAAACGCGGTAACCTTTCTGGCCATAAGGATACCAATGAATATACATTGCTTTGAACGGGGGCTGAATTTATCCCTACCCTGTTTATGCGTCGTGGCATAGCAGAGGCATCCAAATGTGCGAAGATGATCATAGGTAGGTGACCTTTGAAGTGGGCAAATAGTTGGGAGTGGGCAAATAGTTGATCAGATATGCAGCTATGAGGACACATTCTCCCCCAAACTGAATCGGCAAACCTGCTTAGAACCGTAGAGCTCTAGCCATCTCAAGAATATGACGGTGTTTTCGCTCCACCACTCCGTTTTGTTGTGGAGTTTCAACACATGAACGTTGGTGGAGTATGCCATTCTCAATAAAGTATGTTTGCATAGAACCAGATAGAAATTCCAATCCATTATCGGATTGGACACATTTTACCCGTGTGCTAAATTGAGTTTGAACCATAACAAAGAACATAAGCAAGTAACAGTAAGCATCAGATTTGTATTGCATCAGGAAAACCCATGTAGCTCGTGAATAATCATCTACAATGGTAAGGAAGTATCTGGCCCATGTAAGTGAGGGTGTAGGTATCCACTCCATATATCTATGTGTATCAAATCAAAGCATTTTGCAGCACGCGTCTTACTAATGGGAAAACAATGTCAAACCTGTTTTGCCTTCATACAAGTGTCACAACAAGTATTATTAGGTACATTAATATGTAAATCAGAAATCAAAGCAATGTTCTGAAGAGGCATGCCCAAGTCTTGAATGCCACAATCTTGAGTCAGCATCATGAGCAGCATGGAGGGCCACGGGTGGCGGACTGGGCAGAAGGTAATACAGGCCATCATGCATCAGACCGAGTCCAATCACCTTCTTGGAGCTCAGGTCCTGTATCACACAAAAATTTGGGAAAAACAAGACAGCACAATTAAGCTGTGAGGTCAATTTGCTGATGGATAATAACTTGCATTTGAACTCTGGTATGAATAAGACATCCCGTAGGAACAAATTCGGGGATAGTGCCAAATCGGCCTGTGATTGAACTAGCATTACAGATCCGTTTGGCAAGTGGATTGGCTTGTTGGGTGCGGGAATGATGCGATCATTTGGACTCATGGTTGACGATGCCATGTGGTCAAATGCGCCACTATGCAGCAACCAAGGTCCAGATTCAAATAGCCAATGTAAGCTAGAGGCCTTACCAGCAAAATTTGATGAGACCACTAGGTTATCAAA